TTAACAAACTCCTACTCACCACTGAGTTACCCTAAAGATCTTTGTGGTTAAATTACTCACGGAAACCATGAACAGCAATCTGAAAGGTGAGTATCATTGACTTAGTCATGCTAATGGTTCACTATCCAGAACCCAAGTAGTTCAAAGTTAAAGGGCAGAAGGCTTTGACTTATGTGTTACAAAACCCAAGTCTTAAATAATTATAAACTATGTTTTTCTAGAGGAATCACTGTATAGGAATCAATAGAACATCACTGTATTCTCTAACAAATGGCATTTGAGTTTTAACAAGTCTTTACAAAGGTACCCTTGGGAGAGCTTTTAAGAATAGAACAATATTTTTAGGGAGAGAATATAGTCTGCCATGTACAAGTTCCTGGGAAAATGTTCCTGTTCTCTTAATCCAGCAAAAATGTCTCCCTAATTCTTATTTTTTTTTTTTTTTACTATTTGACTTGAATATCTATGTCTAGATATAGTTCCCTCTGTTTAATGAGCAGTACTACAAAAAATACTTGAAATGGTAAAATATTCTGTTATCAGTAAGACCACACAATAAATCAATAAACTTTCATATGCTATCATACATGAGTTTACCCAACATGTTCCAGATGAGATTAGGACACTAATGGATATTTATTTTTGCAAAAGCAGAAGTTAAGATATTATGGATGCACAGACATAAGGCTAGGATAAGGAGACCTTGGTGAGTACCGTATGTGGGCACTTAGAATTTGAATTAGAAGACAAAACAGGGCAAGAACACTTCTCAGCTTCAACATGGGGTCTAGTGTGATCATTCCTGAGTGATGTTACAGTCCATGGAAGAAAGCAGCTAATATTCCAACAAGTTATTACACACTCAAGTCAGATTGCCTTCCATAAAGGGTCACAAAGCTCTGAGGTGTGATCTTAGCAGATGTTGGAGATGGACATTGCCTTCCATAAAGGGTCACAGAGCTAGCTATAAGGTGTGATCTTAGCATATGCTGGAGATGGACATTGCACCCTCAGTAAGAAGAAAAGAACCATATTTCCCCTGTCTCGAGGGAAACGCACTTGAAGATTATTGTGGGAAATGTGTTGAAACAGCCAACTGAAAACCATTCATCTTCCAAACTAATTGGAGTTTGGAAGATGTTCCATTCCAGTAATAAGAAAAATTGGAACTCAGATCCGGAACAAGTAAACTTAATAAATATTTATAGAGCTCTCCATTTTAAATCCACAAAATATACATCCTCCACTTTAAATACACAAAATATTGATTGGCCATTATTAATACCCATTTTTAGAATAAAGCAATATTCCCGTTCTCTCTCCCTCTTTTTCTTCCTCTTTCTTCCTCTCCTTCACTCCTTTTTTCTCTTTCTTTTCTTCTTTCCTTTCAAAAAAAAAAGAAAATTCCTTTGTGAGTGCCTTCAAGTTAGTGCTTGTACTATACCTTCCTCAAAAACAAAAGGAAAGAAAAAAGAAAAATTGGGATTCCTGGTGACAGTAACTGCAAATGGAAAAAATTTTAGTTGCTAAAAACAGAATTATTATTGTTGAAGAACAAACTGTCTCTCTGCAATGATTCCTAACTCAGAAATAGAGAAGCCCTAGATAGTGATTCTTCTCGTTCCCTGATAGTTACTTAATGAATGGCATCACAAAGAGGATGTTGGTCATTTCCTCAAAAGACAAAGAAGTCAATTCGTCAAGTAAAGAGTGAAGTAGACAGTGTTTTGCAGTAGTTAGAGCTGGGTTTCTGTAGTCAGACTACTCAGGTTCAAATTCCTGCTTTACCACATCCTAAGTTCATGACCTTGGACAATTCTTAATATTTCTGGACTTCAGTTTACTCATTTGTAAAATGAAGATTAAATCACAACCACCCTCAAGTGAAGTGCTTTCATAATTAAATGAGACAATCAAAATGTTTCATACAGTGTCTGCCATTTAGAAACTGCCTTATAAATGTTACTATCATTGTCATTTCTTGGAGAATTTTGTGAATTAAGTTGAACACAGCAAAAGGATATTTTTGCCCTAATATCCCATAAAAACCTAGTCTTATCACATGAAATCCTCACTAGAAATATATTCTTCAACTAACAACATAAATATGCCTGGAATACCTAGCATAAATATGATTATAAGACATTGTCAACTTCCAAGACATTAAGTAAATTTACTTTCCAGATAACTGGTAGTACTAATAATAAGTTTCCCCCGAAGTAACATAGAAACGGAGAGGAAAGAGCTAGAATGTACTGTGTGTCCTGGGAAGACAGAGAGACACATTAGAAGTGGCAAACTTCCTAATGAGTGAGTGGAAAACAGAAAAAAAATTCCTAAATCCTTTTCCTAAATTGATACATTGGGAAAAAATGAATGGCTTTCAGATTTAAGAAAGTTGGATTTTTACATTGACTTTGCTCCTAACAAGTCTGGGGACTGCTGACCCTCGATTTTCACCTTCAAAATTAGAAGATTGACTAAAGTAATCTTTAAGGTCTTTTATATTTCTCAAATTATACAAGCTGTCTTAAGTCCTTGATCACTTTATTTATTGTAACCTGGCACCCATTTAGCTAAGCTTTTTTTCTTGTTCCTTGATAATAGTTCAAAAACAAAGAGACAGGGAAAGAGGTGGAAGACATAGACCTCTGATAAATTAGTGAGGAGAACTAAAGGGGAGTGTGCTCAATATGATGAAGAATGGGAGCCCTAAGACAAGCTCAGATGAGAATTTGAAAGCTGTGGTTACTGAGAAAATGGGAAGTGGATGTCCCAAAGCACAATGATCAAATTAAGAGATTTGAGCAGAGAATCACATATGAAAGTGCAAATGGTGGAGATTACATATGTAAAAGAGATGCAAAAAGAATAAATTGCATGTTGTATGTAGTTGAATTGAATTACATTCATGATGAACAGACCTATCAACAAATACAACTTTTTTAGAACTTAAGAGGACCCTATAATTTTGTGTTTAATTTTAAGGATAAGAGAAAAATCTTAAAAACATGTGGAATATAGTAAAGAGAGCAAATGTAGGGATAAAGTAAGAGAAAGTCTGGAAAAGTGTGCAAACTCTGTTCAAGCAGTAATAAGCAGCAAGTACGGGGAGAAGAACTAGAAAAACTAAATAAAATTTATGTAATATTTGTTCTGTGCAAGGTGTGATGCTCACAGCCTGAATCAGTTTGTTTAATATTCATAATAACCCATGAAGAAAAACACTTATTATCTTCATTTCATGAAATGCAGTTTTTATCTGCACTTCACAGACCAGGAAACGGAGCCTATTAGTGAACTTCTCAAAGTTTCATGGCCATTAAGTGACTGGCCTAGCTTTCAAGCCCTGATCTATCTTACTCCAGAGCTCACAGTCTTAACCTCTATATTTAATCCCAATGGGTGTACTTCAAGGAGACTCAAGGACCAGAACTTAAGAAGCCTCAGCCAAACTAAAAGAAAATGGGCTAAAGAGATGAACAAAATATGTTACCTTTATCTCTTGCTTCAAAAAAGAGACAATATAAACAAAAAAGGAATCCTCGCTTCTGGGCCCCTCCCATACACCTACAGTCCTCCCTCTACCACCCTACTCTTAACCGCAAGTAATTTTTTTAAAGATTAATTCTAATTTACCTTAATGTACAGATGAAATAGCCTAGTATAATTTGGAGAGATTCTAAAGGTAACCATTTATCTTTCTGATTTCTAAAATTAGCCCAATACATAGAGTTTCTTAATTGAAGATTTAAATCTTAAAATGTAAATCGACTGATGATGTAATCTTTTTGATGATGCAGTTGACTACGTGTGATCAGTCAAAACTGTCAGATAAAATGTCTGGTCTCATTCATTTAATAACAATTTATTGAGTATCTGTCACATGCAAGAAAGACAAAGAGCTAGTTCTGGATTTACAGTGGTTTCCAAAATAGATATGATCTGTTCTCATTATTCTCAGAGAGTAATGGATGGGATAAAAAAACAAATGAATATACAATCAGAAATTATAATAAGTGCTCTAAAAGAAATAAACATAAAAGCATATTTATAACATTGAGGGTAGACAGACTAAAGTTATATAAGACTCTTCAGGAAGGCATTTCAAGGGGGTCATATTTAAACTGAAACCTGAAAAATAAGATTTATCAATGCAAGAATGCAAGCAGAACATTTCAGTGAGAGAGAAAACATTGCAAATTTCTCAAAGTGAAAAATTACTCAGCATCTTCAGGGAAATGAAGAAGACTAACATAACTGGACAAGCAAGAGATGAATTAGGGCTGTTACATATTGACGTAGCCATGAAAATCCTTACAAACTATAGTCAGAACTTTGAATTTTATTCCAAGAGAAATGAAACTCCACTGAGTGACTTTAAACAGAAAAATGGATCTTGTGTATGGTTTCAAAAAAATCACTCAGATTCTGTCTTTAGAATGGACTTGCAAAGAGTATTTTTAGAAAGGGAAGAAGGCAGGAAGTCATGAGGTACTTTATAGGACAATGTGGACTATCACACCAAGTGAGAAAATAGGCTGAAATCAGAAGAATTTTAATTTCACAACCTTGAATACAGTCATCCCTGTTTACCTCACATGAAACCAAGAGGATAAGCACATGTAGAGGTATTATTATCATGAGATTACAAACCATTTCTATTTTATGACAGTGTTTTTCCATCATTAACTCAGACAACATAAAATAGCTTTCTTTCTATGGACTTGGTAATCAAAAAATGCTTTTATAATTGAATTGATACTACATCAATATAGTAACAAAATATACTTAATAAGCCTCTAGCTGGCCTCTCTATGAGCATTATTAGTTAACTATTACTCCAATAGCCTGCTGGTTAACAGAAAAAATAAAATAAAATTGTGGCTTATCTAACTTCTCACCTCGCCCCACTGCTAATTCATGCTGACAGTCCCTTTCTCTGCTCTAATTTTTTTCTTATTTTTACACACAGACCAAGCCATAGTCAGGAATCAGTGATGAAAAATTATACAGCAATAACAACATTTATCCTGGTGGGACTAACAGATGACCCAAATCTACAGGTTCTGCTTTTCGTCTTCTTATTTCTAACCTATTTGTTGAGTGTTCTTGGAAATTTGACCATCATCACTCTCACCTTGGTGCACTCCTACCTTCAAACACCTATGTATTTTTTCCTCCGGAATTTTTCCATCTTGGAAGTCTCATTTACAACTGTCGGCATTCCCAGATTTCTCTACACAATGGCATCTGGGGACAATACCATTACCTATAATGCATGTGCCACTCAATTATTTTTTGTTGTTGTCCTGGGTGTGACTGAGTTTTTTCTCCTAACAGCCATGTCCTATGACCGTTATGTAGCCATCTGCAAACCCCTGCATTACACGACCATCATGAACAAAAGAGTCTGCATCAAGTTCCTTACTGGCTGTTACATAATTGCTCTAATCATTGTTATCCCACCATTTGGCATGGGCTTTGAACTTGAATTTTGTGATTCCAATGTCATAGATCACTTTGGCTGTGATGCTGCCCCCATCCTGAAGATTACTTGCTCTGACACAGAGTTTATAGAGCGATTTGTATTAATCTTGGCAGTGTTGACACTCCTGTTTACCTTGGTGTGTGTGATTATGTCCTACATTTACATCATCAGGACCATTCTCAAATTCCCTTCTGCCCAGCAAAGGAAAAAGGCTTTTTCCACTTGCTCTTCCCATATAATTGTGGTTTCTATCACTTACGGGAGCTGCATCTTTATCTATATTAAACCATCTGCAAAAGAAGGGGTAGCTATTAACAAGGTGGTGTCAGTGCTTACCATTTTGGTTGCCCCAGTTATGAATCCCTTCATTTACACGCTAAGGAATAAGTAAGTGATACAGGCTTTCAAAGACATGATCAAAAGAATTGCATCTATCTCAAAGAACTAAAGGAGTAATGAGTGCAAATTGAAAAACTATAAAAGAAGCCATTATCTCCATTTTATTTTTCCCTAATTCTGTACTAGTAGCGATTTTTGTATGTTACAACCTCATTCTGTTACACCTACGGTCCACTATCTATGAAAGTATTAATTAACCTTTTTATTTCAAGCTATTCCCAGAAATACATGGGAATAAATCTGCAGCAAACTTTTATAACATCACACCGATTGTTATTACTCACATAACAAGAAATGTGGACAGCATCAATTTACTGTCATATTGGTGCTCATCTGCTCCTTTTGTACTGACTTACATGTCCAGATTTAAGCCCCGCATTTCCCAAGGACATCAATGATGATCATCTATGTCTGCATAAATAATCCTGTAAGTACCCTCCTTGATAGCAGGCATTATTCTATCTCTTCCACTTTTCAGCAAGAAAAAAATGTTTTCTAAAATTTTTTTCAAATGCCATTTGCTCAAAAGCTATACAATTTCCTTATATAAAAACCCTAACTCTGCGTAAATAGAATGTCATATGCCTGTCACTGTGTCTATACCTGGGTGCATCTATGTGCATTTTTTTGCCCTTTCAGAATATCAGCTTAATAAGCTTAAAGGGGTTAATCGGAAGGACAAAATATAAATGAAAATTTGTACCTGAATCTGTTATCCAAATTAACCATAATAATTTTTCTAATCATTTTTTCTAAATATTTTTGAGGATTTCTAAATAAAAAGAAATCCAATCTAAACTGCAGAGTCTGGTAAAACTAACCAATAAAAAAAGAATTCAAATTTTTAACTGCTAATTTTTGTCTTTTCAACTTAGTCCCACTTCCTCATTACCTCTCTTTCCTCATAATTTTCTATTGTTTATCTACTACTCTAGGGAAATATGTGCTGTACCAGGGGTCAAAAAGTTCACGTTACACTCTGGCTCTTATTACCACCAACTCAGACAGATCTTTTTTTTTTATTGTCTCTTTTTAATTGCATTTTAGGTTTTGGGGTACATGTGCAAAACATGCAAGACAGTTGCAAAGGTACACACATGGAAGTGTGTTTTGCTGCCTTCCTGCCCTTCACCCACATTTGGCATTTCTCCCCAGGCTATCCCTCCCCCGCTCCCCCCCCTGCTGTCCCTCACCTATTCCCCTTAATAGACCCAGTGTTTAGTACTCCCTTCCCTGTGTCCATGTGTTCTCATTGTTCATCACCCACTTATGAGTAAGAATGAGGTATTTCATTTTCTCTTCTTGTGTCAGTTTGCTGAGAATGATGTTCTCCAGATTCATCCATGTCCCTACAAACGACACAAACTCATCATTTCTGATTGCTGCATAATATTCCATGGTGTATATGTGCCACATTTTCCCAATCCAGTCTATCATCGATGGGCATTTGGGTTGGTTCCAGGTCTTTGCTATTGTAAACAGTGCTGCAAGGAACATTCGTGTGCATGTGTCCTTATAGTAGAACAATTTATAGTCCTTTGGATATATACCAAGTAAAGGAATTGCTGGGTCAAATGGAATTTCTATTTCTAAGGCCTTGAGGAATCGCCACACTGTCTTCCACAATGGTTGAACTAATTTACACTCCCACCAACAGTGTAAAAGTGTTCCTTTTTCTCGACATCCTCTCCAGCATCTGTTGTCTCCAGATTTTTTAATGATTGCCATTCTAACTGGCGTGAGACGGTATCTCAATGTGGTTTTGATTTGCATCTCTCTAATAACGAGTGATGACGAGAGTTTTTTCATATCTTTGTTGGTCTCATGTAGGTCTTCTTTTGTAAAGTGTCTGTTCATATCCTTTGCCCGTTTTCAAATGGGCTTGTTTCTTTTTCTCCTGTAAATCTGTTTGAGTTCTTTGTAAATTCTGGATATCAGCCCTTTGTCAGATGGGTAAACTGCAAAAATTTTTTCCCATTCTATTGGTTGCCGATTCACTCTAGTGACTGTTTCTTTTGCCGTGCAGAAGCTGTGGGGTTTCATTAGGTCCCATTTGTCTATTTTGGCTTTTGTTGCCAATGCTTTTGGTGTTTTGTTGATGAAGTCCTTGCCTACTCCTATGTCGTGAATGGTTTTGCCTAGATTTCCTTCTAGGGTTTTTATAGTGTCAGCTCTTATGTTTAAGTCTTTAATCCATCTGGAGTGAATTTTAGTGTAAGGTGTCAGGAAGGGGTCCAGTTTCTGCTTTCTGCACATGGCTAGCCAGTTTTCCCAACACCATTTGTTAAACAGGGAATCCTTTCCCCATTACTTGTTTTTGTCAGGTTTATCAAAGATTGTATGGTTGTAGACATATTGTGTTGCCTCCAATGCCTCTGTTTTGTTCCATTGGTCTATATCTCTGTTTCGGTAACAGTACCATGCTTTTTTAATCACTGTAGCCTTGTAGTATAGTTTGATATCTGGTAGTGTGATGTCCCCCGCTGTGTTCTTTTTGCTTAGAATTGACTTGGCTATGGGGGCTCTCTTTTGGTTTCATATGAAGTTCATGGTGGTTTTTTCCAGTTCTGTGAAGAAAGTCAATGGTAGCTTGATGGGGATAGCGTTGATTCTGTAAATTACTTTGGGCAGTATAGCCATTTTCACGATATTAATTCTTCCTAACCATGAACATGGAATGTTTCTCCACCTGTTTGTGTCCTCTCTTATTTCGTTGAGCAGTGGTTTGTAGTTTTCCTTGAAGAGGTCTCTTACATTCCTTGTGAGTTGTATTCCTAGGTATTTTATTCTTTTTGTAGCAATTGTGAATGGCAGTTCATTCTTGATTTGGCTCTCTTTTAGCCTGTTATTGGTGTATCAGAATGCTTGTGATTTTTGCACATTGATTTTATATCCTGAGACTTTGCTGAAGTTGCTTATCAGTTGCAGGAGTTTTGGGGCTGAGGCGATGGGGTCTTCTAGGTATACTATCATGTCATCTGCAAATAAAGACAATTTGGCTTCCACCTTTCCTATTTGAATACACTTTATTTCTTTTTCTTGCCTGATCACTCTGGCTAGAAATTCCAGTACTATATTGAATAGGAGTGGTGAAAGAGGGCATCCTTGTCTAGTGCCAGTTTCAAAGGGAATGCTTCCAGTTTTTGCCCATTCAGTATGATATTGACTGTTGGTGTGTCATAAATAGCTTTTATTATTTTGAGATACATTCCATCGATACCGAGTTTATTGAGGGTTTTTAGCATAAAGGGCTGTTGAATTTTGTCAGATGCCTTCTCTGTGTCAATTGAGATAATTATGAGGTTTTTGTTTTTGATTCTGTTTATGTGGTGAATTACGTTTATAGACTTGCATATGTTGAACCAGCCTTGCATCCCGGGATGAATCCTACTTGATTATGATGGTTAAGTTTTTTGATGTACTGTTGCAATCGGCTTGCCAGTATTTTATTGAAGATTTTTGCATCTATGTTCATCATGCATATTGGCCTGAAGTTTTCTTTTCTTGTTGGATATCTCCCGGGTTTTGGTAACAGGATGATGTGGGTCTCATAAAATGATTTGGGATGGATTCCCTCTTTTTGGATTATTTGGAATAGTTTCAGAAGGAATGGTACCAGCTCCTCTTTGTGTGTCTGGTAGAATTCGGCTGTGAACCCATCAGGACCTGGGCTCTTTTTGTGTGGTAGGCTCTTAATTGCTGCCTCGACTTCAGACCTTGTTATTGGTCTATTCATAGTTTCAGCTTCCTCCTGGTTTAGGCTTGGGAGAACACAGGTGTCCAGGAATTTATCCATTTCTTCCAGGTTTACCAGTTTATGTGCATAGAATTGTTTGTAATATTCTCTGATGATGGTTTGAATTTCTGTGGAATCTGTGTATTCCCTTTATTGTATTTTATTGCATCTATTTGGTTATTCTCTCTTTTCTATCAGTCTGGGTAGTGGTCTATTTTATTGATCTTTTCAAAAAACGGCTCTTGGATTTATTGATTTTTTGAAGGGTTTTTTGTTTCTCTATCTCTTTCAGTTCAGCTCTGATCTTAGTTATTTATTGTCTTCTGCTAGGTTTTGAGGTTTTTTTTTTATCTTGCTCCTCTAGCTCTTTCAATTTTGACAATAGGGTGTCAATTTTGGATCTCTCCACTCTTCTCATATGGGCACTTATTGCTATATATTTTCCTTCAGAGACTGCTTTAAATGTGTCCCAGAGATTCTGGCATGTTGTGTCTTCGTTCTCATTGGTTTCTTTATTTCTGCCTTTATTTCATTGTTTATCCAGTCAACATTCAAGAGCCAGTTGTTCAGTTTCCATGAAGCTGTGCGGTTCTGAGTTAGTTTCTGAATTCTGAGTTTTAACTTGATTGCACTATGGTCTGAGAGACTGTTTGTTATGATTTCAGTTGTTTTGCATTTGCTGAAAAGTGCTTTACTTCCAAGTATGTGGTCAATTTTAGAGTAGGTGTGATGTGGTGCTGAGAAGAATGTATATTCTGTGGATTTGGGGTGGAGAGTTCTGTAGATGTCTGTCAGGTTTGCTTGTTCCAGGTCTGTGTTCAAGTCCCGAATATCCTTGTTAATTATCTGTCTGGTTGATCTGTCTAATATTGAGAGTGGAGTGTTAAAGTCTCCCACTATTATTGTGTGGGAGTCTAAGTCTCTTTGTAAGTCATTAAGAACTTGCCTTATATATCTGGGTGCTCCTGAATTGGGTCCATATATATTTAGAATCGTTAGCTCTTCTTGTTGTATCAATCCTTTCACCATTATGTAATGACCTTCTTAGTCTCTTTTGATCTTTGTTGCTTTAAAATTTATTTTATCAGAGATGAGAATTGCAACTCCTGATTTTATTTTCTCTCTGTTTGCTTGGTAAATCTTCCTCCATCCCTTTATTTTGAGCCTTTGTGTATCCTTACATGTGAGATGGGTTTCCTGGATACAGCACACTGATGGGTTTTGGTTTTTTATCCAATTTGCCAGTCTGTGTCTTT